GAAGATTTTTGAGTATATGAAAAATATTTGACCCATTTTATACCAAGAAAAGCTGAAGGTTTCCACAAAAGAAAAAGGTAAATGCAATCGTTCTCATCATTATCATTCATCAAAGTGCTGGGATGCATACATGAATGTTAATGGAGAATCCAACAAGTTAATCATTAAAGGATAAAGTTGTATGTACAGGACAACTCTTCACAGGGGCTTTACAGGACCCTCATTGGCCCCCCTGGAGCATAGTCCAGTGGTGTAAAGGATAGGAGTGAGATTATCTCACGCCTTGCTGACAGTCGCAGTGTGAGAGTTCGATTCCCGAGACATGAAATTGGATTCCTTATAAGCGCAGTGTAGCAGTGAGGCCCACTTAAAAAAAAAAAAGCGGCAAGCCCCTCTCATGTGTGTTGTCTGGCAGGGGCCTATGTACGTGCAGCATGTTTCATCATTAAAGCCTCCAAAAAATCCAGTCTCTACATATCATTTTCTCTCTCAATTATTGCAAAACCCTCCCATCTCTCACACTGTCTCAATTATTGCAAGATTAGCGCTACAAATACATAAACATATACATAGGGTACTGTGCCTCTCTCTTTTAAATACAAATTGGGAAAATTACTTTATTGGTCCTCAATATTAATTATTAGATTTGGAAGTTAGTCCTTTACTTTTAAAAATGAAACCGAAATTGAGGCCCAAACTTTGATTATAATTGCATATTCAATTTTCAAACACAAAAACCAAGGACGGATGTGGCCGGGGGGGGGGGGGGGGGGGGGGGGGGGGGGGGGGCGAGCTGGGCTGTAGTCCCCATCCACAAGGCCCAAAAAGAAATTTTTTGTTAAGGAATTTTTCATTTTTTTCTAATAAAAATAGTTTTTTTATGTGTAATTTTTTTTTCGTGTATTAGCTCGATTTGAATTTTTGTAACCCGATTTTGGATCCAATCCTAAATTCGTCCATGACAAAAATTATTTATACCCTCATTAGGTGGATATGTGTTCCTCATGAAATATGCATCACTTCGAATTTTTTACACAAGCTAAAATTTATAAACATAATCAAGTTTCATAAAGGTTACATGAAAGCTGCGTGAAATATTTATTAGAAATTTGAATACTTTCCATGCAATCATTGGAAAGTTGAAGGTCAAATTACTACTCAATTAATAGATTGAGATAGAACGGTGTGATTTTTGCTGCTTTTTTTTTTTTCTCGATTATTTTACATCTTTCTGTATTTTCCTTTTGTATTTCTTATAGTTTATAACTAATATGTCGGTACATGTTGCATAAATAAATATATAAAACTTTTCTATTAATTAATATTTTTTCCCCTGAACTAAAGGCTTGTTTGCTATTGATTTTGAAAATTGATTTTTTGACCGTTACGAGAAAAGTTGGGACCATTTGTAAATGGAGAAGTCAAAAAATACGGTTAGAATAGTGAAGTAATGATCAAAAAATCAATTTTTTGAGGTGAAAAATCGCTCTCAAACAGACTCTAATAAAGTCAGGTCAATTGGTGATATGCCAAGGAACCTATAAATTGCTCCACCAGCAAACTAACATTTCACACCAAGTAAAAGTCTAAATTGCCCCGTCCAACATAAATTTTAAGCGGAGCCTCTGTTCGTATATAGTTTATAAATTGGTCTATTAATTCAAACAAATTTAAATCCTTATTCACACATATTCATTACTATTTCTGTTATTAACTTATTATATCTATTAATAAATTAACCTATTAATTGGGTCTGCCTAATAATTGTTTCGGATCTGTCCGTTTTCACGTGGGTCGGAATGAAACGTCATCGTTATGCCACGTCATCCGTCTTAGCTGTATACGTCAACTAGGGCAAGTCACCCACATATTGCACGCCACAATTTCCTTAATTTTTTATTCAAAATAATTAAATTAACTGTTTCACAAATATCTGAAATTTTGGATTTGCTATTTACTTCCCATCAAGTGAATATTTTATAAACAAAATAGCATATTACAGAAAATATTTTTGAAATGTCATGTCATAACTGTTGGTTTTCAAGCTTGATGACTAAGAATGAGTACGAGCAAAAACTTTCGGTATCTCTGTGTCCTCGTTGCCCCTACAATACCTAATTTAGATGCGTGAGACTAAAAATTGAAAAATTATGTAAAAGTGAACCTAGATAATGATAAAAAAAAAAAAAAAAAAAAAAAAACTTTGTATTTATAGATATAGGTAGTACACTCCTAGTAAAATTAAATAAATTGAGTATCCTTATCTTTAGGATTCCTACCTGAAATGGATGTTGTGTTTGTACTGCAATTATAAAATCAATCGTTATTGGATGAGAATAGGAGTGTAAAGATAGGTCCTCGTAGGAGTTGCGAATTGATGAGAAGTGCAAGGCTAGGAGAGGGCAATTGGAAATAAAAGTCTATTTAGGTCAGGGGATATTGTATGATGTAAACGTTCATACCTCGACAGATACAGAATATCCTCGACATGGTCATACTCGAGCATAGTCGGCACAGAAAGTGACGAGAGCAAGCACCATGAGGTCGGGTAAGGTCCTGGGGGGGAAGTTCGTTTGGAAGGGTTCGAGAAGAGGAGTCATCGAGGAAAAAGATCGGGTTTTATGCATGACAAAATGTATCATTCATTTGAATTTCTCATAATTGAGTATGAGAATGAATCATGATCAAAGCGATCGATGAAAAAAAATATACTAAAGAAGATGCACTATAAAATTATTTATTTTCTTACTAAAGCTTTGCCAACCAAGAGAAATGCCGAAACAGTTTCTCAAATGAGTTTCGTCGATTAATGCTAGGTAATAGGTAATATTCGGTGCATGAAATGACAGGCCACCTTTGTCTATTAATAATAATGCTGAGTTGGTAGATGCATATATAAGACCACATAAATTATTCAAGGATATTACGTATGAAATCATTAAAAACGTGTAATGGCCATTTATAAAGTTTCCGATATTCAAAAACATTAATATGGATGTCTTTTGAATTTAGACGCAAAAGTTTGCCATCACATTTTGTTATATAATGTAAATGTCAAGTTATGGAGTTTTAGGATAGTCATCAATAATTTATCTTTTTCGGATTACTTGAACTCTTTTAATTGAAAAAGAAAAAAAAAAAGGTTGAATCCTAACCTTTAGGGCCCTCACCGTCCCGTCTCTGGAGTATCGTGAGGGAGGTAAATCGCGATATTTGTCCCAACAAGCTAGAAAATAAGAGTTTGCTCGTACACTGGTACCCACAAAGAATCCAATTCCATCGATAATTTATCACTTGAATGGAGACCGGTTTATGCATATGTCCAAATCCAATTAGGGTTCCCCTAGTCTTTGGTTATTGAGTTGAGACGTATTTTTGACAGTTTTATATTTCAAAAAATCGATGTTTTCTTCTTTGTTTAGAAAAAGTAGAAAGGCAAGTCAATCTCGAGCTGAATGATAATACAACGATATTGACTACGTTATTGTTTTATCTTTCCTAAAAACTAAAGAGATTGCTATTTCTTAATTTAAAATTAAATCGAGCAATTTATATGCCTACGTTTCTGTAGCCGTGACTGCTGGTCAATTGCCCATGGGTCAAAATGAAATACCGTTCAAAATTGGCCGTCTTCTTTCTATTTTTCGAAATCATTATCTAAAACCTAAGTTTGAATAATGTTATTGATGAATAGTCGTGCTGAGTTGTCAATCATCACAATTTAACAAGACAATAAGGCCACATTTACACTCTTTAATGAATTAATGGGTCATGATCACATTGACAACGAGACAATGACCCCACACAATTGAAAGAAATTTGCTATTTGTACTCTAATTTTTGACACTTTGATTGTTGTCAAATGTCAATTGAATGAAAAAATTATTTGAAATTTAAACTGTCCAATAGAATAATGACACATGACAAAGTGTAAACTAAATTGTATATCATAGTGTACGTGTAGCGATGTTCCAATTGAAAATGAGACACTTATTCCCATTGTTAACGTTACACTCTCGCCGTTACATAATCACATAATCGTTTATTAAATTAACAAATTCATTTGTACATGTATTTTTAATATTTAATTATATCTAATTCTGCAAATACGGTCTAAATATATTTTGCGTGGACATATCGTTTATTTAATTAACAAAATTATCTTGCTCGTTTAATCTCAAAGCGTGTTCGATCGTGCTTTGGCTAATAAAATTTTCAAAACCCAAGCTCTATAATAACATGAAGGATAATTTTGCAAATTTGGACATAAGGGCATGTTCGGTCCTTTCCATTATCATTCCTGAATATCAAACGTGAGGTGTTTCAAATATTTTCAATCCACCGTCCAACTTTACTCTGCTCAAGTATATTTTCTCTGTGTTCAAATGTATTCATAAAGGCCAAACAAACAACCCCCAAGACTTTAATCAATTTGCAATTGAGCATATACTGTAACCAGCTGGCATATTCTTGGTGAGCAGGTCAGCATTACTTTCACTACGTGGGTGACCGGACCCAAATTTAAAATTATACACGCATTTTCTCTTTCTCTCTATTATTAAATTTTAATCATTTGACTTTAGGGAAAATTGCAGCAACAGTCCCTAATCTTTTCAATTTTTACAATCTTTATCCTAACCCACAATTTATGTCAGCGAAAGTCCCTAACCTTTCAAAAATATGCAAATGGAGTCCAAGAGGATGGAAACCATCTATTTAACAATTAGTTAACCAAAAAAACTTGTTTTGACCAAATTTGATTATGTGCTTGTTTGGTATAGATTTTGATAATTAATTTTTTGACCGTTAGAGATAAAGTGGATCCTACTTGTGAGAAAAAATTTCAAAAATGACGACTTAAATAGTGAAATAACTGTAAAAAAAAATGATTTTAACTGACTTAAAAACTCTACCAAATAAGCTCTAGGGCAAAACGGTAACTTAGTTAATTCTACATCATAAAAAACCAAACAAAATCAGGAAAAAAACAAAACATACCTCATCTTCCACCCCGCAACACCCAAACCAATCAAAATCGTCTCTCTTTTTCTTCTCCGACATGCCTACCAGAAATAGCACTGCCACCACCTTCGACCTATACTACCACCACTGTTCCCGTCAACATCTCTTACTACCAGTTCTGGCACCCTCTATTGCCACCTTCTAGCCACTCCGCATTTGCCAATGTACATTTGAAAATAAACCAAGAAAACTCACATAATGCTTGAAAATCAAACCGAGAAAACTCACCTACTATCGTACGGCTGCCGTCGTTGCCATCGACATGGTGCCGCACCTAAATCGATACCACCACCACCATCTCAAATGCCAGTAGCATCTACAACAAAAATCCACAACCAAGAGTAAAATAATTGTTAAACCCTGTGCAATTTCGAAACCTCTCCAAATCCAACAAAACTACTATCGTCTACTGTTGATTTCAAAATCGACACCAAAGATCTAACAATTGGATGCCCATCAATCGTCACCATCACTAGTATTTGTCAAATCCCTACACAATTACCGCCCCTTCCAATGAAATGGGACCTCAATACGCTGGTAAACCTCAAAAATCAAATTATGTTCATACTTCAGATCTGGTAAAGGTCACAGGTGTTGTGATTCAGAAAAAAGAAGTGCCAGAGACTACTAGCGCCCCTATTGCTACAAGCTCTCACATCACCAAATCCTTAGTCTCATCGTCTGGTGATGCGTCACAAGAAAGATGTCTATCAGATTTGGCAGAATATTCAGGCAGGAGAAATTCTGTAGCAGACAACATCCTGGCTGACACACAAAAGAGTCTCATGGCTAATGATTTTGGGGATTTCAATGTCAACAATAAGCAAAATGACTGTTGTCCCGTGGATGCCAACAGTAGTAGTTCAAATCCAGAGTCTTTGCAGTTTGATGGAGAACACATTCTTCAGGAACAAACGTCTCTTAAAGAAGAGTTTCCTCCATCTCCCTCTGACCATCAAAGCATTTTAGTTTCCTTATCATCGCGGTGTGTTTGGAAGGGAACTGTCTGTGAAAGGTCCCATCTATTTCGTATTAAATACTATGGAAACTTTGACAAGCCACTGGGCCGATTTCTGCGGGATCATTTATTTGATCAAGTGCTCTCTCTCTCTCTCACACCCCTAACATAGTAACATGCACACACTTACTTTCTAAACACTGACAAATTCAATACTCGTATCTATTACATAGGAACATCATAGATTTGTACGAGACTAAGGTGTCTTTCTTTCTCGACAGAGTTATAGATGCCGCTCATGTGAGATGCCCTCGGAAGCTCATGTTCAGTGTTATACTCATCGACAAGGTACCCTTACAATTTCAGTTGAGAAACTGCCAGAAATTTTATTGCCGGGCGAAAGGGAAGGAAAGATTTGGATGTGGCACAGGTGCTTGAGGTGTCCACGTGCTAATGGCTTCCCCTCAGCAACTCGAAGAGTTCTGATGTCTGATGCTGCTCGGGGGTTGTCCTTTGGGAAGTTTTTAGAGCTAAGCTTTTCAAATCATGCAGCTGCTAGCCGGGTGGCAAGTTGTGGCCATTCTTTACATAGAGACTGTCTTCGGTTTTATGGGTATAATATCTTGTTCAGTTTTTTTATACATTGACTATAGTTTACATGTTTTGAATCTGTATTCATGTTTACTGACACTCCAGCAAACTCTCAACATATGTGGGCTTAATTACTTTAAGATGTATCATACTTGGGTTCATTGACATGAGCTACACTGGTCAATGAACCATACTTGTTCAATTGAGCTATCACATCGCGTCCTTTTGGATGGCTAACTGTTGCAGAAACATTCTCAGAAACAGCCTGATAGATAGTTTTCTTTTTTCTGGTCAATCCATTATGGTTGCCTTTCATTATGTTACTTGCAGATTTGGTAAGATGGTTGCTTGCTTTCGTTACGCATCAATTGATGTTCACTCAGTCTACCTTCCTCCCGCCAAACTTAATTTCAACCATGAGAGTCAAGAGTGGATACAGAAAGAACTGAATGAGGTGGAAACAGTATAGTTATCAATTTCCATTCTTGTGAAATCACACAGCATATACTTAACTATCTAAATCTAATAGGTAGCTGGCCGGGCTAAGCTTTTGTTCTCTGAAGTGCAAAATGCTCTTTGCCATTTGGTAGAGAAGAAATCTGGGTCAGATTTACTTAATAGTGGCATGAAAGTACCTGAATCAAGTTGTCAGCTAGCAGATTTGGAAGGGGTGTTGCAGAAAGAGAAAGCTGAGTTTGAGGTGCAATTTCAATTTTTAATGTTGTGGCTTTCTTTTGCATACTAGATGCCATGGAGTATACATATTCAATCCTTCGCTATATTTCGATGAAGCAGAGAACCTATTTTCCTATACCCTTATTCCTGGCAGAGTTTAGGCGGAAAAGAATGATCTCTTTTGTGTTGAATAATGAACCAATCCATGTGGCAGGCAAAGTAAAGATGTAATAATCATATTCTACCACTTATCTCCCTTTTTAAGAACCTATGCGGCCAGGAAAAAATAATGAAAATCAATTAATTCTCCCATCACACCCCCTACCCCCCAAATCTGCCAGAGTAATCAGAAATATCAATGCTGATGATCAGAAGGTACATTTTCTTCTGAATTTGCATGGTATACGTTCCCATAATATTAGCTTGATTATAATTCTTTCCCGATATAATAAATACCCTTGGTCTTTTGAACTTAGACTAGCTTAGAATAGTTCTGATCCAAATTAATCTTTTTATTTTTTAAATTTTTTTGGAGATAAAAAAGATTGAAACTCTGTTCAATCCAGTTTAGCTCATATAAATCATAAATGGTTGAGATTTGGAAAAGGTTTTGAGATACATTGGTGCGAGCACCTGACAAGGAAAAATATATACTTTTGGACGCATATACAACTTCTGTTGAACCCACTTCTTACTCTAAATACTACATTCAAGCCAGAATTAGTCTGGATAACTAAAAAAAAATTAGTTAGCAGAGTAGGCTAAAAGAATTTTAACCATACTAATTCCTACCGAATCCAAATTAAAAGTTTTCCAAGGACTGCCTTATGCAAGCAAAACTGAACTGGTAAAGAAAACTTTTGAAGTCAAACCATGTTCTAGATGGAATCTCTGCTTCTAATATGCTAATGATTTGGCAGGAGGCACTCCAGAGAATTTTGAATAAAGAGGCCAAAAAGGGCCAACCAGCCATTGATGTTCTTGAGCTCAATCGACTGCGAAGACAGCTTGTCTTCCAATCTTATATGTGGGACCACCACCTCATATATGCAGCCAGTTCAGATGACAAGAACCAACAGGATGATGCCTTCAATACAGAACCCGTTGAGAAACGCCCTCCCCCTCGGGTTGATGGGAATCTTGTCGGTTCCAATGTTTCAGTTAAGACGTGTGACTATTCTGATGTTGTTCTTTCAGATGCGAAACATGGAAAAAACCAAGATCTAGGGTCAAGAGATAGCTACAAGAATTATTATAAAGTTTGTGGTCAAAGAACTGATGTAGCTACTAACTTTAATCATGAAACTGAAAACCCATTAACATCCTTTGCCGGGACAAAGGCCTATGATGAATCCAACCTTCTGGAATCGGATGCTACTGTTCGTAGAGCCGTCTCGGATGAGCAATTCCCTACCGTGGCAAGTTTATCAGATACCCTTGATGCAGCTTGGACCGGTGAAAATCACACAGGGATTGGATTCCCCAAGAATAATACTATTTCTGAATTAGTTGATGCAGATTCTTCAACCTCCATTGGAGTGGGAGCAAAACTGGATGTCGGAGACCATGGAGAGGATTTGAACTGGTCTAAGGTGTCTCCTTCACCTCCTGTGTTATCTGCCAAGGGCTCTGATACTATGGAAGATAGTATGAGCTGGTTATGTATGCCGTTTATAAGCTTCTATCGGTCATTAAAGAAAAACTTTTCAGGGGCTGCTCGGAAAATTGACACACTTAGTGATTACAATCCAGTCAGAGAGTTGGAACTCCGAGGTGGGGCTAGCTTACTCTTGCCTGTAGGAGTTAATGATACAGTTATTTCAGTGTATGATGATGAGCCCACGAGTATTATATCTTATGCACTTGTTTCTCCTGATTATCTTTTCCAAGTGTCTGATGATCTTGAGAGACCAAAGGACACTACAAACTCAATGATTGGTATGCAGTCCCTTGATTCTGCTAATTTCCAGTCCTTCTCTTCTATTGATGATATAACGCACGAGTCCTATAGAAGTTTCGGTTCTGGAGATGAAGGCATCTTATCTCTGTCTAGTTCTTGTAGTTCCTTGCCTTTGGATCCCCTCTCATATACAAAAGCTTTGCATGCCAAGGTATCTTTTGAGGGTGAAGGACCCCTTGGGAAAGTGAAATATACAGTTACTTGTTACTATGCAAAGAGTTTCGAAGCCTTGAGGAGGATTTGCTGTCCATCTGAGGTGGATTTCATTAGGTCTCTTAGCCGGTGTAAGAAGTGGGGAGCACAAGGAGGCAAGAGCAATGTCTTTTTCGCAAAAACCATGGATGAACGATTTATTATTAAGCAAGTGACAAAGACTGAGCTGGAATCATTCATCAAGTTTGCCCCTGGGTATTTTAAATATCTTTCTGAGTCAATCAACTTTCGGAGTCCAACATGCCTGGCCAAGATCCTAGGAATGTATCAGGTATTTCTAACTGAATCTAAATTTCACAAAACTAATTTCTCTTTATTCATGTTGCCACATTTGAGTATTATGCAGAGGTTTGCTACCTATTAACAAATGTGTGGTATTGGTCTGCGCAATTTACCTCATTTGCATGTCAAATGATAATGGTCGTGTCCTTGTAATTGTTGTATATCTCTATACTTGCACCATTTTGCATTTCAACAGTTACACTCATCGTCATTCTCTTTCTGATTTTATGTTGAAAAGGTAATGACCAAACATCTTAAAGGAGGGAAGGAATCAAAAATGGATGTACTCGTTATGGAGAATCTTCTGTTTGGAAGAAATCTGACTCGGCTTTATGATCTCAAAGGATCCTTGAGATCTCGGTATAATCCTAATTCTAGTGGAAGTAATAAGGTTTTGCTGGATCAGAACTTGATCGAAGCAATGCCTACGTCACCCATTTTTGTTGGAAATAAAGCGAAGAAATTTTTGGAAAGAGCAGTCTGGAATGATACTACTTTTCTTGCTGTAAGTTTCCATCTTTCTCTACTTTTTATTGACGTACCCAGTTACTACAACATTTAATGGCTTTGGTTGGATCTTAATAGTTCACTTTGCAGCAAGCAGATACACTTAAAGTTGGCATAGAATATCTTCTGTGAATGCACATAAATTTTAAACTTGGGATTGAACTGATTTCGGGGAACTTTTAAGATCAAGATATTCATGTACTTGCATTAACTGTTATTTTGACATCTGATGGCAGTTAAGATATTTATTGATGGAAATTGATTTTTGGATTGGCCATGTTTGGCCTAGCTTAAATAACATGTTACTCTTAGAAATCAATAACATTCTTGTTTCCAAGTTCGATCACTAAAAAAAATCTATTTTAAGACTTAGCCCTTGTTTGATTCTCATTCTTTGAAAAAAAAAATATATTCTTAAACAGCGTTTTAACACCATTTCAACCATATATTATTTAATAAAATAATATTACACGCAAATCCAAAATTTTTCCTTATTTTTTAAACACACATTTTCCATCAATATGCTATTCAAAAATTCATTCTTATCAAAAGAATGGGGCTCAAACAAGGGCTTAGGAGTAAAAATTTTAAGCCCAGGCAAACATCTGTGAGGCATCAGTTTTATGCCATCCTTCGTCTCTTTGTTCCCAAAGCCCCTTTCAACCTTACCTGCCCGTCCAACTCTCTATCACGCTTAAGGCTTCATATTAACTTTTAGATTTGCCTTTCATCTGTACTTACAATGGTTGAATTAACACCTGCAGTCAATAGATGTAATGGATTATTCGCTACTGGTTGGGGTCGATGAAGAGAAGAATGAACTTGTTCTTGGGATTATTGACTTCATGAGACAGTATACATGGGACAAGCACCTCGAGACATGGGTGAAGGCATTGGGCATCCTTGGTGGACCCAGAGATGCTTCACCGACAGTAATTTCCTCAAAGAAGTACAAAAAGAGGTTCAGGAAAGCGATGACTGCCTATTTTCTGATGGTTCCAGATCAATGGTCACCTCCCACAGTAGCTCCTAGCAAGCCTCAAACGGATCTATGTGAAGAGAATGCATACTCTGCTGAGTAATCCCCTCCTAGGTTATCAATGTTTTTGCAATTCTTTTTAATTTTTCACTCAAATTCTATTGGAAGAAGCCTTATCCTTTTGGATTCTCTTTTCAATGAGTATTCATATAGTCAGAAGATAGAAAACAATGCTGTTATTGCCATAGAAATTAAAATTATACCTACCCAGAAAGATTTTGTACAATATATATATATATATTTTTTCACCTATAATTCAAGTTGTACATGAACTGCAATATATTGGTGCAGTTCTAGCGTAATGTATAACCTTCCAAAAAAAATTCTATTTTCTTTTCTTTTTTAAATTTTCTTATCAGATTGATGGAACATTTTTTCTGCACTCACTTAAATGATTCTTAGCTTTCGTAAAATGATGGACTAGGGATTGATGTGGTCATGCATGCGTACACCTGCTGCAATTTGAGCTCTATCAGACCAGAACTATACGTAGATTTTGGAAATTTGAGCTGTCAGTATGTACTTTTCAATCACACGTTCTCTAGAAGCATTAGGTTATAGAATTTTCTCTCTCAAAGTTCAAGCGGATACAATCTGTAGTGTTGCTGTTTGAACTTTGAAAGTGAATGATTTTAAAAATAAAAATCTTGTTATATACATATGAGTGCAAGACAAAGACAGATACAATCACATCTACATACGCATATTAATTACTTTATTTAATATTATTTGTAAAACACGTTTGTTTGTCTTGTTCAGCACCTACTCGATCCCATCCCAACATCTCTGAAGAAGCTCAATAATCTCAATGTCTCTGCAATTAAACATCACACATTCACCACTCAATCATGTTGTATGAGCACTACAAGCATGGCATAATTAGACAAAAACAATTGTTGAT